GTTTCAGACAGGAAACTCCGCTGATCATTGGCTGAAACAACGCACAAAACTTCTTTAAGAAAACGTCTCATTTAGAGATTTTAGACAAAACTATTCCCTCAGAGAGAAAACCAAACATGCCCTGTTGTCCTGAGAGAAAGTGCAGAAGGAAGCATCCATTGAACTCAGTGTGCTGCTCTGTGATGCTAGCTCAGATACGTGGCATCTCATCTCAAGGTCATCAATGTTTGGGCTCAGGCTCTGAGCTGAGGAGACCCTCAGGATGGAGAGAAGGTGTGCGTGCAATATACCGGAGGGCCAGATCTAATAGGAATTAGAGATTATCCTGCGGGCCGAAATTAAACCCACCAAGGGCCTGATTTGGTCCCCGGGCCTCGAGTTTGACACGTGTGAGTTAGGGTCTTAATGTGCTCAATATGGGCCTAATGAGGCATTCTCTCATCACACCTAACAAATATGATCTATTCTTATGCAGCAAGACATGAAACTAAAAGTGTTAATTGTGTCAAAATAACTCAGAATGTGGTTTTTCTAACTCAGAATATGTTCCCTATTTGAAAGTGAAGTCTTGTTCATAACTGATAAGCTGGCAGTTTGACTCTAATGTGTTAATGAACAACTAGTTGATGGTGAATAAGTGTACCTTAATATAAAGTGTTACCTGACGTTGTTCTAAAACTAGCCCTATGACATGATGGGTAACGTATATCTATTAGTCTCAAAGGAAGATCTGTTCTGTTTCGAGTTGTGAGATAGGATGTGAATCATAGCTTCCTGGTTCCTCCTGAATCTGGAGCTGCTAGTTTCCGTCAGCAGAAAATCCGGAAGAAGACTGAGGCTTTTCTCCTAAATCCCTGACGTTGTCTCTTTCTGTTCTCTAAATCATCGCTTTGTTTCATAACAAGTAGAGTTTAACCATTTAGATGCTTTCTCTAAGACACTAAGCATTTGAAGATGACATGTTACTTCGTCGACGCTTTTCTCCAAAGCGACTCACATACTCAATACTGTGGTTAATCCCCACAGGAGCACTTTGGGGTGAAGAGTCTCAGGGACACAACGACATGCTGACTGCAGTGGGGTTTGAACCTGTGCTCCCCTGATCCAACACCAACCCACTGCGCCACAGCCTCCCTTAAGATAACATTAAAGGGAACAACAGAAGAAGACAGGAAGACAGGACCGCCTTGAGAGTTGCCGTCAGTTTCAGTTACATTGCTGTAGCGCCAGTTCAGTGGAAGGGACCATTTCTTCTTATTCGAAGCAATAAGATCATTTTATTTATTTATTTAATTCTTTATTTATTTGGGGTCACATTATAATACAAGTACAGTTTTAATCAAATAAAATAAAAACGAAAAGTACACAGGGGTTGTTTGAAATAGCAAATGTGCATGTGCATACATATGAACATACATATATACATTCAATACACATACACAATAATAAGATCATTTCAAATCAATGATATGCAGGGTTTTGTTTGCCCCGGATAACAGGAGCACCGCGCCTCAAATCAAAACGCAGATTTTCCCCGTAAAAAGTTAAAGTGATCAGAAAACAACATTTCTGTTCTTCAGAAACTGATCATTCCTCCAGAAATCTGAGCATCAAACCGAGCGTCAGGCGGCAGAGACTGCTTTGTTTTTACGGAGCTCCGACCTCTCGTTGTTTACGTCTCGTTGTTGTTTACGTCTCGTTGTTGTTTACGTCACATCTTGTTTACAGTTCTCAAGAGAATTGATATATCTTATTAACAACGTCAGAGACACAGAGGTCATGCTATATCTGTGTGGAGAAACCCCTGCTGTGAGTCAAGTCGTTGGTTCATGTTAGAAACATCTCCCTGGTCCCCGGTTTGATCTTCAGTCTCAGGATCCATGTGTCTGTGATCCTCTCCAGAATGGAAGGAGTCATCACATACAGAGCATCAACTAGTTCCTGAACAGTGTCCTTCACATGCTGATATCAAGAGAGGGAGTTACACCGTCACAAGATGGAGGAATAGAAAGCAGTATTCAATGTTTACTTCAGATTAGCTCCACGTCAGAAATGAGCATGCTTGATGTCTCTCTCCATAGAGGCTGAATCATCATGTTAATCACATAGCTATCATCTGCCTCAAACAGTCCTGATGCTCTTCTAGGTAATCACACATCCTGTCATGTTCACAGCTACAGTTGATACCTTTGTTAGCATGCTACTCTCATGTTGGAAGAGGACATTCAGTGTTTTCCCAACAGGTCATTTTGTGCGTAGTCGTGTAATAAGCAGGAGAATGTGCAGTAAACACAAAACGTTCAGTAACAGAGTTGTATGATTACAGAAGCTGCTTCCTGTTGACACAGATCACACCTTGTTTGATGTTATTTTTATAAACCCCTCAAGGTATTGTTTGAGTCACTGCTTCCAATTGCAAGTTATTGTTGGACGAGAATAACCAGGTTATGAAACTCAATTTCTGTTTCAAAGTTTCTCCCTTCGCTCAGCAGCTGTTCAGACATGCAGCAACAGCTGTGTGTGTGTGTGTGTGTGTGTGTGTGTGTGTGTGTGTGTGTGTGTGTGTGTGTGTGTGTGTGTGTGTGTGTGTGTGTGTGTGTGTGTGTGTGTGTGTGTGTGTGTGTGTGTGTGTGTGTGTGGGTGTGTGTGTGTGTGTGTGTGTGTGTGTGTGTGTGTGTGTGTGTGTGTGTGTGTGTGTGTGTGTGTGTGTGTGTGTGTGTGTGTGTGTGTGTGTGTGTGTGTGTGTGTGTGTGTGTGTGTGTGTGTGTGTGTGTGTGTGTGTGTGTGTGTGTGTGTGTGTGTGTGTGTGTGTGTGTGTGTGTGTGTGTGTGTGTGTGTGTGTGTGTGTGTGTGTGGTAGCTATGGTGATCTCTCGTGTAGAGAGAGAGTAGTTCCCTCCCCCTCTCTCCCTGTATAAGCTCACCTGCACGCCCCCCTCCCCTCAGATCTCACCTGCTCTGGAAGGTTTGGGTTTTGAGCAGCCGGCGATAACGCGTTCTTTCCGAGGAGAGGATTAAATAAAGTGATGCTTTTGAGGTGCCTGCAGGCCAGCAGCAGCTTTGAGGAAGAGTGGGTCGCGCTGAGCGGCAAACCCCTGCAGACCGGCTTCAGACCGAGGCCTGGAGACGCAGGTAGAAACACGGAGGGTGGATTATTATTATATATTTAGTGAGAGGACATCAGTGACGTCGGATCACTGCGTTGTTTTTCCTGCTTGATCCCACAGTCTACTTCCTTTCCTACTGATCTTTGTAACCTATATTTACACTTATTTTATATTTACACTTATGTTATTGTCTTTTCTCTTGGCTGCTATTCTTTTGGCTTGTCACGGTTCTGGGGCCGTTTCTCTTTCCTTTTGAAAGTCTCTGAAAGTGTCGGTTGTTTCCGTGCCGTTACGACAAATATTGCGATTCGAATTGCGATATTTGTTTTGAAGCGACCCAACGGAAGTTTATTGTAAAATGCGGCCATATCTCCGGCTAGGAAGGTCGCATCAACGTGCTCCCGTCTCCAGCGCCCCGCAGCCCGAGCTACGAGTGAAAGAACTACACTTCCGTTGCTTTAAAGTCGAGCTTCAGTTTAAGATTCTCCCTGTAATAGAAACATGTGATGGAGCGTTGCTAACCTGACTCAGAAACCATATAGAGCTCCGTTGGAAGCCATTTGGAAAGGGCAGGCACTTTCAGAAGCACTTGGCAGGTGATTGGATCAATCTGTCACCTTCTATCATGGGCCACTTCTGATTGGTTAACAATGGCTGGTACATGTGGAGCACAGCACTTCTGATTGGTGTGGATGACTGACACACAAGAAACAAACATTGCATCTGGCTGTTACACTGCCTTCACTTTCAATTCCATAATACTTCCAAACTCCTGACCTTTGCTCCGTCCCGAGTCACCAGCTGGACGTAGCCTCTCGTTAGCTGCTGCTATCAGACACCGCGCCCACTCTGTTGCTTTGAGAGGAATAAGCAACCAGGTCTGAAAACAAGCCCAACAGAAGCAACACATCCATGATGTTGTGTCATTTTAAAACAAAAATAAGTCATTGTCATTTTTGTTTTGTAACATTAAATAAAATAATTGTTAAAAAAAAAAAAATAAAAAAAAAAAATCCTGATCCCCGATTTTTTTCTTTTGAGAATCACGTGATCGGATCGGGACATCTCTATCTTTTAAGATTTTAATTCAACCTGTAGTCAGAGGGCATCAGTGTTTTAGTAGAGAACCTGATTTCTGCAGATTGTGCTTCACTCGCTTGTCTATTTGAACTCTATTGTTTTGCTTCGACTCTTCCTACGTATTTCAGGATATCATTCAGTCGTGAGAGGAAATCAGTGTTGGGTCAAATCACCTGATAACCATGAAGTTTTGATTTTAATTGGGCAGCTTTTTGTCGTGATCTCACAACTTCAAATTCACTTTCCTTCCTATTTGTTCTTATCGTTGAACCTGAATTGTCTTCCTCTGTATTTCAGGATATCATTCAGTCTGCAGTCAGAGGACGTCGGTGTTGCCTTGAAACCTGAACAGTTTCATTATGTATTTGTTGTATTGGTGCAGCTTTTTGTGACCCTTTTCACGAACATGTAATTACACACTGTGTTATTCTTTCTTCCTCGATTTTTATACTTTTTTATCAACAGTTTCAGAAAAGCCTCTTTAGCCTTTTTAGAATCTTTGTAGATTTGTTCCACTCTTCAGCAGAGTGATCAATACTGAGGCGATCACTGGCTGCAGCTCCACGTGTTGGGACTCTTCACGCTCCACGTATTGCCCTGGGACGAGTTTCTGTTATTAAATGATGGAGAGAATCAATCATTCCCAAAGTCGTGAATATCTCCATCAAATCAGTCAGAGAAACCGCAACTTCATCATTAGAGTCACATGTGTTTTAACGGCTCTTCCTCTCCTTCCCTCCTCCTCCTCCTCCTCCTCCTCCTCCTCCTCCTCCTCCTCCTCCTCCTCCTCCTCCTCCTCCTCCTCTTCCTCCAGAAGCTCTCCACCGGCCCTTCGGCCTGGACTCTTCTCTCCTGACGGAGGCGGTGCGCTGGAGTTCCAAGGAGAACCTGTTGGGGGCGACGGAGAGCGACCCAAACCTCTTCGTGGCTCTCTATGACTTCGTGGCCAGCGGAGACAACACGCTCAGCATCACCAAAGGTAAACAACAACAACCAGGAGCTTGTTTGTTTGTCTGTCTGTAGGATTTACTAAAAACCAGTCGTCTGGTTTTCATGAGACTTAGTGGAAGGTTGTAGTACGGGCCAAAGGAGAACAACAACACTCAGCATCAGCAAAGGTAAAGGGAGAAGCCAACAACAACAACAACAACAACAACAACAACAACAACAACAACAAGGAGCTTCTGTTTGTCTGTCTGTCTGCAGGATTACCCAAAACCTCTGTGATTCCCACGAGACTTAGTGGAAGAGTGTAGTACGGGCCAAAGGAGAACTCTTACATTTCGGATGCAACATTATTTTTCCGTTTTGTAGTTCGTAAAGTCTGAAATGATCTAAAGATTTGACGCCGACTTGGTCAAACATTACCCAGAGACGCCCAGGCTTCTGTCTCCGACCACTTCTAGGTAGAAAACATGCTTTCCTTTCTTTTTCACGTCATATTTAAGTGAGAACCAAGACATTTCATCTCCCCACCTCGGACAAAATAGGACATTTTCGTTCACTTTTTTACATCTTATAGACAAAAACACTATTCTACTCTTTAGTAATACGGCCCAAAGAAAAACCCAAAGCTTTGCAGCGAATCAAAACCATGAACTAGCTTCGGAATAATCTTAAAAGTCAAATAATTGACGTAGAAAATATCGTAAATACCTCGTCAAGTCAGAAAATAACTCAACGGAAGTGTTGGTACCGGACTGTCCGAGTTAAGAGGTAAGATAAGATTTATTGATCCCAATTTGGGAAATAGTTTTTGTTGCAGCAGCATAAAAGACCATAAAACAAAACTACAAATAAACAAGAAAAGAAAATAGAAAATATATTATTTACAAATATATATATTCAAAGGGTTCAGGGTCATTTTGCAGAAGCATGAACGACAAAAGTACATTTTTAATGATAAGATTTGGGCCGCAAGATTTCGACTTATATAACGATACGATTCACCACATTAAAGGCAATTAAACACTTTAGTTATATACTATTGTTGACTCATGATTAATAACACGTTTAAAGAGGATTTGGACCAAACAAACAGCTTTTATTAAGTCTGTAGAATATTTAATATTAATATAGAAATTATGTTTTAGCATATTTTGCCTTTTAACAAATGTTCTGTCACTTCAATTCAAATATGGGACTTGCCAATAAAGCGAGAGTGAATACATGCAGCCCTTGTTATAATCGGCCATGCCTATTCTCTGCCAACACCTAAAGCCCTTGAGCACCCTCATTGGGAATTGGGATGATCCGAGCAGTCCCTGAATGCACCATTGGCTTTAGTCAAAAGTCAAAGTCAGCTTTATTGTCAAAAATGGTGTTATACATCCAGAAATATCGTTTCCCACAGTGTGACATGTGACATTAAACAAAACAAAAAGGGCCTAGATAGCCGGGGTATACAGTTTAAAATGTTAATATATTTAAAGTGTTCAAAGTACAGTTTCAGTGCAGTAGCAGCGGAGATGGGCAGAAAAGTGTCCTAGTTGCATCACCTGGACGTCGTTCGCCCACTGAGTCAAATCGTGGTTTCGTAGAGAAAGGTTTGTCCTGAAGAGCCGGGTCTCTGTTTCCATGCATCATCACTGGGGCGTGTGACGTTGCTCCGTGTCGGGGATCGTCCTCCACGCCTTCCTGTCCTCACGCTCTGTTGACATGTGTTGCGTCAGAACAGAGGGAGCATCGCCTCGTAGGAAGAAGCCTCGAGGCGGCGCTCGTTGATTGGCAGGTCGCAAAACCCAGAGGAAACAAGACAGTCGATGAGTTAGAGCGTCGTTAGGCTGGAGGAATGCAGCGTGTCGTCACAGCAGAGAAACCTGAGCTCCACCTGAAGCTGCCTGCGTCACACGGTTCAAGGCTTTCATTGGCATGTAGCTACGGTTTGGATATGACAATGAGGATCTGAGGTCACAGGCTCCTCCAACAGAGACACACAATAACACAGATACAATAGTGCAAGTAAATAAGAATAGAATGAGATGAGTGATTGATTACCATAGCACACACACACACACACACACACACACACACACACACACACTGAAACCCATGAGCACAGAGTACAGTTTAAAAAAGCAGAAATAAAATCTGAGCTGCCGGTAAATGCTCCGTTTTAGTTTATATCTGTGTTGGCAAAAGTTAAAATAATACCTGTGTCCGGCACAAATGCTGCTTTCATTTCGTGCAAATTGGGCCAAGTTCTTTTTATAAATCCTGCTGACAAACAAACCCTGCACAAAAAGACATGACCTCTCCGGTGGTTTGTAATAATGCTCTTTGTATGCGTGTAGTTCAGGGTTCTTACGTCATTAAAAACCTGGAAAAGTCATGGAAATTCAAAATGCTAATTCCAGGCCCTGGAAAACAATATTTTTCCCAAAGTTTTGGAAAAGTCATGGAAATGTAACTAAAGTTGCATCAAATATAATTTATATTGTATCTACTCGCCGAAATAGTAATGCTATATATACCAGAGTTCCCGTTAGAATATTTCTTCGCCGGTCAACATGTCCGTTAAAGTTTAAATCTTCCGGACAAAATGAGAAAGGTGCCGGTCAAAGGTCTTCTTTCTTATTTATTGTGCTTTAAAACAAATTGATATGATTCAATATTAAACTAATTATAGTAGATTTAGATTAACTACATTATTCAAAAGCGTACAGTAATTTACAATAACACAGGAATAATAAACGGAGCGCTCTCCCCCTCTCCTGACAGCCCGTCAGTATCATGCAGCTCGCGGATCAGTAAGTGACCTGACAGTAAAACTAAACATATCTATAACTAGTTACGGTAGTTTGAGAGGCCATTAAAATAGCTACGTGTGATATTCTAACCTGAAGTGTGTGTTGCTCCGCTCACCGCTGCATGTGATCATGCAGAGCTGCGTGTCGACTCGTCAGCAGCAGCTGATCTCTCTCTCCTGTCAGATTAGACTAAACTCGCGTTTATGTCCATATCGATCAGATCCAGCTAGTTCTAGCTAATGATATGACTACCTGCTTATTAAAAGACACCTACACAATAAGTGTCGCTATGCAACCGGGTGAGGCCGCAAAGTATAGCGCAGCATTATGCATTTGTTTACATGCCCACCGGAACCCCGAGACATTACCAACAGATCAACGCACAATCAACCCATACAGGACATCTCTTTCTCCACATTAAGTGTTAGACATTAGAATGGACTCTTCTTGTCTGTCACATAAATGGTGCAACTGATGGTATTGCGCTAAACGGAAATGATTTTGAACGGACACTTTGACCGGAGAGATTTAGATTTGCTGGTCTTCAGCATATTTTACCGGTCGTAGTCCGGTAATTACCGGCTAATGGGAACTCTGGTATATACGTATAGTGATGAAACGTAAAATGGCTTTTAACTGACGAGGTGTTTTGCTGGTGAGAGATTTTAGTAGAAGCGAGTAACGGCCCGTCCACACAGCGGCGTGCGTTGACGCTTGCCGGCGGGCGTGTCTGAAACTCGACCAACAACCAATCACATGAATCTCCCGCCCCTGACACACAAGCACGCGGTTTGATTGGCTAGAGCTTGTACTGGCATATGATTCGATTGGCTGACGCTTCTGCCGAGGCGTCAAAAGTTGAACATTGCTCAACTTTTGAAGCCAGCAACGCCAGCAACGCTCCACGTCGCTTCCCAAAATGCAGTTCGGCTAAAAGTGACGTCACCCCATTCAAAGTGAACGGGCAGAAGCGTTGGAAGCTTCAACGCACGCCGCTGTGTGGACGGGCCGTAAGCCTGTTGGTTTGTTTCAGATGCAGACCTTATTTTCCTGTTCCATGTTCGAATAAACCATTTTCAGTGGAACGCTGAGAAAGAGTTTTTTTGGTCATGGAGGTAAAGGTCCTGGAGAAGGCATTGATATATATAGGTTCACCTGCTGAATCAAACTCCACGACTATAACTGCAGCCCGTCGTCACATCAGAGATATCCGATACGATAAGAAGTACTTAATGTTTGTGTTGCAGCAGCATAACAGACATGGCATCGCAGAAATGAAAAAGACTAGAAATAAACAAGAAAGTAGAAAATATACATGTTGAATTGAGCTGTAAGCTGCTTTGGTGGGACAGGGGCTCAGGTGGTTCAACAGATCAATCAGTTCATTTATTTAGCCCAATGTCATACATTTCACATCGTACGTAAACCCCAAAGTGAAACTTAGATTTTACGAGGAAAACGTGTTTTTAAGTTGTGCTCCATCTTCTGCTGGAGCTTGAATTGGTTTTTATTCAACAGTCAAACATTTAACAATCATGTTAACACTATTATGTTGTTAGCAGCAGAACATAACGCATGGATATCATGAACTAAATCAAAATAGTGATTATAAAAATAATAACAATATCGACTTCAATATTTTGAGAATCAATGAAGTCATTTTTCTTGCAAAACTGATGCTTCTATCTATTTGTTTTTAACATATATTATTAAAGAGAACATCTCTGGGTTTAGGACTGACGGATAGATAACTCTACGTGCTTTAAATGACATATATGAGACATGTAATACATTGAATACTGTGGACAACAGTCTGGAGTAGGGCTGAACGATATATCGTGTCATGGCGATAACCGCGATATTCACATCGCAGGGACGTGCGATTTTATTCTTTTTTTTAGGACGTGCGATATTAAAGGTGGGGTAGGTACGTTTGAGAAACCGGCTCGAGATACACTTTTTGTTATATTCCATGGAATGCTCTGAACATCCCAAAAGCAATGAATATCTGAAGTGCCTCGACAAAAAATTCATCTGTGGAAGCCGTGATGCTGTAAAAAGTACATCCAATCCGTTTAGCCGGCCCTGTCTGTCAGCCTTCCATCTCGTGCCCTCATTGGGCGTGCCCTCATTGGGCGTGCCCTCATTGGGCGTGCCCTCATTGGGCGTGCCCTCATTGGGCGTGCCCTCATTGGGCGTGCCCTCATTGGGCGTGCCCTCATTGGGCGTGCCCTCATTGGGCGTGCCCTCATTGGGCGTGCATTGCAGCAGTACTTCAATGACTCGCCAGCAACAGGCGGCCACTCTCACCAGTCTGCTGACGTCATGTCGCGTTCATGTGTGTTGGAGGAGGTGCTCTGGAAGGAAGTCTGAAGGAAGGGGCGGATTCTTTTCGGCTGTGTACTTTCACATTTGAGTGCACTCGAGCCGGTTTCTGAAACGTACCTACCCCACCTTTAAGTAGGTCAATTAACTCAAACACGTCATGTTACAATTATTTTGCTGCTTGCTACAAAAGGAAAACTTGCTCCTCATGTCAGGAGTACTTGAGTGAGTGACATGCCGGCTCTGCATGCACAGCAAACCACCAATCACAATCACTGTTGATCAGATCACAGCAGGCCCCGCCCCGCTAGTTTGCAGACCATCAAAACACCGGTAAAAAATGAGCGAGGCAGAGGAGGACGATACCGGAGAGAAGGAAGATTTACTTCCAAAAAGAAAAGCAACATCTGGAATCTGGAACTATTTTGGATCCAAAAAGGTTCTTCTCTTCTTCATCACAGATGAACCCCCTTATTTCAGGGTTAGCAACCTGCATTATCATGACATGTTAGATCAGTGCTTCTCAAAGTGTGGTCCGTGAGCGCCCCCTAGTGGTCCGTGAGTATATTGGTAAAATTTCACATTTGAAATAAATAAATACATTTAAGCTTTCCGAACTCTCGCGGGAATATCTCCGCAATGGAGCGAGCTTAAGTTTCACTTTCGATTGCATGATATAGCCCAGCGCAACACCTTCATCACACATGTTGCCATTTTCAGGCGATTTGTAATCTGTTCTAGAAAAACGATGTGTTTTTTTATATTTGTGGAGTTAGGTGGAGTGTTTTTTTATTGGTTAAGTCCTTGGTATGAAAAAGTTTGAGAAACCCTGTGTTAGATCATGACTTAAAGTATGACGAGTCAACCAGTTAAGATCCAGACGTCCGTGACTAAAATCCTTCATCCGGTTAAATATAGCTAAAAAAAACGCAATATATATCGCAGGGGAAAAAAATATATCTCAATGTCAATTTCTTTCACTATCGTGCGGCCTTAGTCTGGAGCAATTTAGGGTGAAGTGTCTAACCCAAGGACACAGCGGCATGTTGTCTGCAGAGGGGATTGAACCAGTGCTCATCAGCGCAATAAACCACTGAGCCACACCCTCCTATATATATAAAGACATCACCTTGGACTTTTAAAAACTGGGAGTTTCATCTCAAAGCCACCTTTCTGTTCAAACTTCATCTAGTATTGAGGAAACGTGAGACTGATTCATGATGGCTTCGTAATGATTACTCTTCGTGATAAAAGGTGAAGTAGCTGCATCTGAAATGACCTCCTGGAGTCGTGTGAGTGTTACAACGTGTTGCTCTTAATCCTCTCACAGCATTTATTTGGTTACTCCACCTTCGAGTCCTCCTGAAGTGTACTCGTCTCGCTGGTATCTGAAGCAACACGCTCAGCACGGTGTTGATTCAGCCCGCCATGCACTCATCAGAGATCAAAGAGGACAAAGGCCTCGGATCATTTAGATGTCATGAGTCACTCGATGATACCTCGAACTCTTTGTGTTGTGCACCATGGAGACATCAGAGGAACTCTGTGAGCTGTTGGAGGTGAGCTGGGGCTAACAGCAGCTACACTTTACCAACACTTAGTTCAGCAAAGACTTCTCACACAACTGAAGCCGAGTGATTGATGTCTGCCACTGTATGCTCACTGCTGCCTCGGGAAGAGAGACACATGGTCATAGTGGCCAAACGGTGGTACTACAGCTGCATGTGACGCAAAAAGAATTGTTCCCATTGGCGGACATCGGGAACACTCATGTGTGCATGCTCCATGATGGGCTCAATGGGTGCGGAAGATTTCCTGAATATCCAGCGGACGTCCAGGGAAGATCTGGGAAAAGATCATGTAGGGGAGATCCAGGAAAGTTCTAGGAGAGATTGCAGATAGATCCAGGATAGACCCGGGAAGTATCGAGGAGAGATTGAAGATAGATCCAGGATAAATGCAGGAAGGTTTTGAGTATGTTTTTCTTCTTTGACGGGAGTCAGGCCATTTTAGCTTCCTGAGCAACTTTGATGGTCTCTAACTCTGAATCCAGTCCCAGAGTATTAGTTCTATCCATGACCTCCACTCCCTCTTCCTTTTCTGCTCAGACCTGCAGGACCAATCCTTGCTAAACGCAGTGTTGTGTTTTCTACCCCCCATTCAGTCTCTGCCTTCACACAGAGCCAACAGACTGAGTCTCTACACGTCTGAGTCTACCGAGCGCTCTGACGTGTGTGTGTGTGTGTGTGTGTGTGTGTGTGTGTGTGTGTGTGTGTGTGTGTGTGTGTGTGTGGTGTGTGTTGTGTGTGTGTGTGTGTGTGTGTGTGTGTGTGTGTGTGTGTGTGTGTGTGTGTGTGTGTGTGTGTGTGTGTGTGTGTGTGTGTGTGTGTGTGTGTGTGTGTGTGTGTGTGTGTGTGTTTGTGTGTGTTTGTGTGTGTGTGTACCTGTATGTGTGTGTGTGTACCTGTGTGTGTACCTGTGTGTGTGTACCTGTGTGTGTACCTGTGTGTGTACATGTATATACCTGTGTGTGTGTACATGTATATACCTGTGTGTGTGTGTGTACATGTATATACCTGTGTGTGTACATGTATATACCTGTGTGTGTGTGTGTGTGTACATGTATATACCTGTGTGTGTGTGTACATGTATATACCTGTGTGTGTGTGTGTGTGTGTGTGTACATGTATATACCTGTGTGTGTACATGTATATACCTGTGTGTGTACATGTATATACCTGTGTGTGTACATGTATATACCTGTGTGTGTACATGTATATACCTGTGTGTGTGTGTGTGTGTGTGTGTGTGTGTGTACATGTATATACCTGTGTGTGTACATGTATATACCCTGTGTGTGTGTGTGTGTACATGTATATACCTGTGTGTGTGTGTACATGTATATACCTGTGTGTGTGTGTACATGTATATACCTGTGTGTGTGTGTACATGTATATACCTGTGTGTGTGTACATGTATATACCTGTGTGTGTACATGTATATACCTGTGTGTACATGTATATACCTGTGTGTGTGTGTGTACATGTATATACCTGTGTGTGTGTGTACATGTATATACCTGTGTGTTTACTATGAAATGTCACTGTGTCTTCCGCATAAAGGAAACCCGTTCTGACCATACCTCAGTGCTCTTGATCTTGTTTCATTGGCCTTGTGTTGAATCGTGCTGTATTAACACATCACCCCCCCCCCCCCCCCCCCCTGCAGGTGAGAAGCTGCGGGTGCTGGGCTACAACCAGAATGGCGAGTGGAGTGAGGTGCGCTCTAAGAACGGTCAGGGCTGGGTCCCCTCTAACTACATCACGCCGGTGAACAGTCTGGAGAAGCACAGCTGGTACCACGGGCCGGTGTCCCGCAGCGCCGCAGAGTACCTGCTCTCCTCCCTGATCAACGGCTCCTTCCTGGTGAGGGAGAGCGAGAGCAGCCCGGGGCAGCTGTCCATCTCCCTGCGCTACGAGGGGAGGGTCTACCACTACCGCATCAACGCTGGGGCCGACGGGAAGGTAGGAGGAAGTCGATCATTTATGAATCACACACAGGGTTCACACGGAGCTGAGAAGCCTGGAAAAAGCACTTTTCTTGCGAATTTTGAGTTTAATTCAACTTTTGTTGTGCATTTGAATTTTGAGTTTAATTCCATTTCTCTCCGCTTTGAGGGAGAGTTTACTCTCCGCTTTGAGGGAGAGTTTACTCTCCGCTTTGAGGGAGAGTTTACTCTCCGCTTTGAGGGAGAGTTTACTCTCCGCTTTGAGGGAGAGTTTACTCTCCGCTTTGAGGGAGAGTTTACTCTCCGCTCTGAGGGAGAGTTTACTCTCCGCTCTGAGGGAGAGTTTACTCTCCGCTTTGAGGGAGGGTTTACTCTCCGCTTTGAGGGAGGGTTTACTCTCCGCTTTGAGGGAGAGTTTACTCTCCGCTTTGAGGGAGGGTTTACTCTCCGCTTTGAGGGAGAGTTTACTCTCCGCTTTGAGGGAGAGTTTACTGCACCAACAGCGGCTCCGATGGAAAGGTAGAGATAAGAGTAGATAATGAAAGGATGATTATGAACTGGGAAGGTTATTAATCACACTCGGTTGGAGTTAAAGACAGGGTTCATACGGTGGGGAGACACCTGGAAGATTCCTTCAAAGAAGTGTTGAAAAAAGGACAGTCAAAGAAATTGGTCTCTTATTTTTGATATTCAACGTATTTTAAAAATCTTTCACTTGTTTTGTTCAATCAGAAAAGGAAAAACAACCATTTTAGTATTTTTGTGAGTTTATCTGTTGTGAATTTGTGGAAGGGGTTTTAAATGCACAGATCCAACTGTTTCCCCATTTCCCTCCAATCCTTAATATCAGTTACCTTTTAGACTCACTTTATCATTTATATCGAAGACTTCACAGAATCAGAATTCATACTCGTGAAATCGTAGAATAATGAGCAAAAACCCTGTGAAAAACAACTTAAGTGTTGCTTTCTGTTGTTGTTGTTGTTGCGTTCATTTCTTAACTCTCCCCCCCCCCCCCCCAGGTATACGTGACCTCAGAGAGTCGTTTCTCCACGTTAGCGGAGCTGGTGCACCACCACTCCACGGTGGCCGACGGCCTGGTCACCACGCTGCACTACCCGGCTCCAAAATGCAACAAACCCACGGTGTACGGCGTGTCCCCCATCCACGACAAGTGGGAGATGGAGCGCACCGACATCACCATGAAGCACAAGCTGGGGGGGGGGCAGTACGGGGAGGTGTACGTGGGCGTGTGGAAGAAATACAACCTCACCGTGGCCGTGAAGACACTCAAGGTGAGAAGATGGAACAGAAACCAGAAACGTGTTTTTATTTGTACCAAATCAACAAAACCGTCAATTAAAAAGTATTAAAGTAGCAGCCAGTAGTAAATAGTAAAGAAGACGGAACAGAAATGTGTTTGTACCACAGGAGGGACATCTTAGACATGAATGGTATTAAATAAAGAGGCATTCAATAATAATAATGCATTTCTAGAAACTCAAAGACACTTTACAGAGTCATACAATCATACAACATTAATTACAGATGAAATGCAGATTTTGTGCATTCAAGGTAGCTTAGATAGGCAGCTGTACTTTAAGAATGAAGTGGATCAAGCAGCATGTAAACGAGGCATTGCACATGTATTAAACATTCAATTAACTGCATATAAAATGTACAAAATCAACAAAACCGTCAATTAAAAAGTACTAAAGTTTCAGCCAGTAGTAAATAGTCAAAGTAGTTATTTTACAAGTGTTGTTCTGTAGTAAGTGCTGCAAAAATAATAATTATGATAGTAATAAAGTATATTTACTCCAGTGCTATACTTATACGAGTACTTTAGTAAAATGAAGAAAGCACAATATTGACGTGCAACAGTCTCTTTACAGCTGCTTTTACTTCTGTTAACATCGAAATACTTCTTGCTTTTAGCATATTTAAATGTCACTGAGCTCTACCGTGGAAAGCTGCATTATAACGGTGGTTACAGACCGCCCCCTGCAGGCTGACGGCGGCATTACACTCTGTCCAACCCTCTGATATATTCCCTGTTTTTCTTTTTGCACTCATTTGAATTCTCTGATTGACAGGAGGACACCATGGAGGTGGAGGAGTTTCTGAAGGAAGCAGCCGTGATGAAGGAGGTCAAACACCCGAACCTGGTTCAGCTGCTCGGTCAGTATTTAACAAGAACTGCTTTGGCACACACTTCCACTCTCAGGCCTATTGTGTCTTAGCCTCTACCCAAACAGACCTTTTGTTAAGTCCTTCCAGAGAGGAGACTATCAAAAGCTCGTCTACATGTCAATACTGAAACAAAATGTGTGTTTGGGGACGTCAAAGATGTCCCGTTATTGTCTTCGTGAGGTCTTACATATTAGTTGTTGTGCAATGACGCACAGACAATACTAGTAGCAGGCTTTCTGCATGTCTACAGGTCTTAGCCCTTGTTTCATGTTAGGCTTGTTTATTAATATACCTGCATTGCTTCTGAATGCTATTGAAACCCTGTGCTGCTCAATCAAGTCATAGACATGTTTTTGTTCATAAGAAGCTAAGCTATCAGCATATGTAGGCTACAGGGATGTACACATAGTTATGAGACCATATGTACAACATACAATGCTTCATGGGATGCATAATAAGATCTACAATCTGTATCTGAACTCCCAGAACATCTACATTTACTTCCATCGTGGATACATGTTCATAAAATACATTGTTTGTTTATACGCTTCTTGAAAATGGTACAAACAGTCGGCAACATGTGAGATGGAGGTGTGGCGCTGGGCTACACCAGGCAGGTGAAGGTGAAATGTAAGCTCTCTCTGTTGTGGAGATAATCCCGCGAGAGTGGCAAAAAGTTAATGTAAAATCCCCTTATATTGAGACTCAGAGATGTCAGAGGTCATGGATAACTCCCACCACACACACCCCTCTGTTTGATACCTCTCCGTGTGGCCGTACGTGTTGTTTACCTGTGCATTGACCGTGTGTGTCTCTCAGGTGTGTGCACGCTGGAGCCGCCCTTCTACATCGTGACGGAGTACATGCCCCACGGGAACCTGCTGGACTACCTGAGGGACTGCGATAAGGAGGAGGTGAACGCCGTGGTGCTGCTGTACATGGCCACGCAGATCTCCTCCGCCATGGAGTACCTGGAGAAGAAGAACTTCATCCACAGGTGAGAGGAGGCAAGAGGGAGCCGTCAGACGTTTATTAGGAGTCACAGATAGTGCGTTTTAATAAAACTCCTCAAATGGCTCCAAAAACACCTGAAAGCTGCCTGAAAAGCATCACAGATAGGACACACCACGTGATAATGTACGTTTTTGGGTGAAAAATCAAGCAAACAATCTTAAATTAGGTTCTTCATGAATCATAAGATCCCCCTTCATAAATAAAGAGTAATAACTGTTATCTCTTGCATTAGAAGTCTTGTATTTCTAGGCTTTTCTACCATGATAGTGAGTTTTACATATTTATCAAACCCACGTAATTCACTATGGGAGCTAAAATGGAAATTCCCTACTCAAGAGGCGCTTTCACACCGCAGTACTTTTCCCACAAAGGTTCATGAGAACTTAGTTCATGAGAACTCTTTAGTTCTCATGAACTAAGTACAGATCGCGTTCACACCGGAATAAGTCCCTGGGGGAGGATTAGGCAAATGAAGCCGCTGACGTCACTTCTTCTTCTTCTGCTTTGGGCTTACTGGCAGGCCGCAAACCACTTCACGGTGTATACTGCCGCCCAAAGTCCCCGGCCGGAAGTCCCCGGAGTTGGGGACTGGCTTCAGTAGAAGCTGCTGGGAGTCCCAGCAGCTTCTACTGAACGCCGACACCTCCTCATCTCCACCGCTCCCATGTTTTATTTTGTGTTGCCATAAGTTAGTCTCTCTGCGTTTCTGCGCTGGGCTAATGCTAATGCTAATAATGCTAATGCGAGGATAATAAAATGGCAGCTTCACAAAACTTTTTTGGAGTTTTACGGGGCGTGGTTTGCAATCCTTCCAGCCAATCAGACACAGGAACCTTGTTCTCCCACGAAAGTACCTGCTCTCTAGCAGGGACGGAAAAGGGGGTGAAAGGTTCTCATGAACTAATTTGAGTTCCGGCTCTTTTTGGTGTGAACGCAACATTTCAGAACTATATCGGAACTAAAGTGGGAAAAGTACTGCGGTGTGAACGCGCCTCTTGTGTCTTAAGATAAGATAATAAGCACTTTATTGATCCCAAGTTGGGAAATGTTTGCGTTGCAGCAGCATAAAGAGACATGGCATTGTACATACACATTAAAATACTAGAAATAAACATTCCACAATGTAAACATCTCACTAGAAATAAAATAGCATTAAATAAAAGTAGAAAATAACACTTTTACATAAGGTCTTGATAACTCATTACTCTCGACTTTAGGCACTATTTGTCCCTTTCTCTAACAATATAGTTTCGCTTAACGGCTTTCAAAGTCCCTCAAATGAGGGTCTTATGGAGAAAATCGTAAATCAAATCAAATCAAGTTTTATTTATAGCACATTTATAAAGATTTCTGGTGGAGCCAAAGTGCTGAACATAAAATACAAATAGCCTACAGACACTTTACAGCAAATACAACAACACAGATTGTTCAGAATATCAGTATGAGAAAAACGACACCCTCTGTCCTTAGACCCTCTGTCCTTAGACCCTCTGTCCTTAGACCCTCTGTCCTTAGACCCTCTATCCTGAGACCCTCTGTCCTTAGACCCTCTGTCCTTAGACCCTCTGTCCTTAGACCCTCTGTCCTTAGACCCTCTGTCCTGAGACCCTCTATCCTGAGACCCTCTGTCCTTAGACCCTCTGTCCTTAGACCCTCTGTCCTTAGACCCTCTGTCCTTAGACCCTCTGTCCTTAGACCCTCTGTCCTCAGACCCTCTGTCCTCAGACCCTCTGTCCTTAGACCCTCTGTCCTTAGACCCTCTGTCCTTAGACCCTCTGTCCTTAGACCCTCTGTCCTCAGACCCTCTATCCTTAGACCCTCTGTCCTTAGACCCTCTGTCCTTAGACCCTCTGTCCTTAGACCCTCTATCCTTAGACCCTCTGTCCTTAGACCCTCTGTCATCACACCCTCTGTCCTTAGACCCTCTGTCCTTAGGACCCTCTGTCCTAGACCCTCTGTCCTTAGACCCCTCTGTCCTCAGACCCTCTGTCCTTAGACCCTCTGTCCTTAGACCCTCTGTCCTTAGACCCTCTGTCCTCAGACCCTCTGTCCTTAGACCCTCTGTCCTCAGACCCTCTGTCCTTAGACCCTCTGTCCTTAGACCCTCACATCGTACAAGGAAAAACTTCCAGAGAAAACCCACAGTTTAAAAGGAACATGGGAGAAACCTCAGGGAGAGCAACAGAGGAGGGATCCCTCTCCCAGGACGGACAGACGTGCAATAGATGCCGTGTGTAAATCCAAGAGATAATACATTTTACAGCATATAGACCGAATGTTAGGAAATGCATGAGTCTGTAATAAGAAGATGAATCCACGAGGATGTCAACTACAATCCTGAGGAAGCCATCAGGGAAGCAGCATGACGAGACCCAAGGCAGGGCCGCAGAGACAGGTTCAGCCACGACCCGAAGTCCACGACTTCATCCAGAACTCAGGATAGAGGATCCAAGACACAGGACTACAGCAAGAGGATACATATTTAGTATCCCAATCCATCATTAATTCCTCCCATCTCTAACTGTATCTGTCATTCTGTGAGTGTGTATTAGTGCCTCTCATGTTGGTCCATATTGTTGGGGAAATATCTTCCTATAGGCCCCTAACTTTGACCCAGTGTGTCAGTCTGTGCTGCCCTCACTGAGCACAGGCCTCAACCTCGGGCTGCTGTGCTCTGTCTCCCTGTTCCTGCCTGTTGGCGTCTAGCTGGTTATAGTGCTTTATCTTGTTATGCAGCATTAAGCATCCTCTCAGAACCAGTACACGGGTCTGAGGTAGAGCTCTTCAGAACATGTCTTGTGAATTATCCGGCCCAAGCTCCAAATAAACCGTCAGCGTTTGCCATCAAAGTTCCTGCTCTCCTCGTGTCTCTCTGAGTCCTGACTCCATTCCTTCAGAAGTTTCCATCACACATTTAAATAACCGTATTTCTCTCGCTCTCAGGGACCTGGCGGCGAGGAACTGTCTGGTGGGGGAGAACCACGTGGTGAAGGTGGCAGACTTTGGCCTCAGCCGGCTGATGACCGGAGACACATACACCGCTCACGCTGGAGCCAAGTTCCCCATCAAGTGGACCGCCCCCGAGAGCCTAGCCTACAACACCTTCTCCATCAAGTCTGACGTCTGGGGTGAGACACACAGAGAGACACACACACACACACACACACACACACACACACACACACACACACACACACACTAAGAGACACACACACACACACACACACACACACACACAGAGAGACACACACACCCACACACACACACACACACACACACACACACAGAGAGACACACACACACACACACACACACACACACACACACACACACACAGAGACACACACACACAGAGAGACACACACACACACACACACACACACACACACCACACACACACACACACACACAGTGTTCCTCTGCTGTAGCTTATATATATTTTTCTAATGTCTGATCTTCCTCCTCCAGCGTTCGGGGTGCTCCTCTGGGAGATAGCGACCTACGGCATGTCTCCCTACCCGGGCATCGACCTCTCCCAGGTGTACGACCTCCTGGAGAAGGGTTACCGCATGGAGCAGCCGGAGGGGTGTCCGCCCAAAGTCTACGAGCTCATGAGAGCATGTGAGTACATTCAGCACAGAGTAATCAGGATACTTCACTCTGATCTAACACATGTGATGCTAAGATAGAGAGATGGATAGATGGAGAGATAGATGGAGAGATAGATAGATGGAGAGATAGATAGATGGAGAGATAGAGAGATGGAGAGATAGATAGATGGAGAGATAGATAGATGGAGAGATAGATAGATGGAGAGATAGAGAGATGGAGAGATAGATAGATGGAGAGATAGATGGAGAGATAGATAGATGGAGAGATAGATAGATGGAGAGATAGATAGATGGAGAGATAGAGAGATGGAGAGATAGATGGATGGATAGATAGATGGATAGATATATTCTTTTATCAGGAGTAGGGATGGGTATCGTTAAGGTTTTAACGGTACTACTACTTTTATCGATACCGCTTATCAGTCCGGTATTTTAACGGATACTGTTATCGGTTCCTTTGGAGAAAGAAATAAGATGAACTAACTAAACAAATTGTGAACAAAACTAACATTGCTTTTTATTTAAATTAAATGCATAATATTTCACATCAAAAGAAACAACAATGTTTCAACAAATCGTATTAAATAATCAGAATAGCTGAAACTTTAACTAAATAAATAACTCAGTTTCCTCTAATCATTAATGTTTGTATCATGGAGTTAACTCCGTGTGTTGCTGCTAGCATACAGAACACCTGACGTGGAAACGTTACTCGTGGACGGAGCTACAGAGCTGCTAGAAAGACAGTGGAACCCGGTAGCAATTCCTCCGTCTGGATGTGGAGCACCCTTGATAAATGTTTAGACACAATCGCTCAGTGTTCCCGCCCTGTAGTGCTGACTCTGTAGTTGTAGTTGTAGTGCAACGAGCATCGAGACGGGTAGTGTACCCTGTGGTGTGTGTGTGTGGGGTGCGTGTGCTCCGCCATCGTCGTGTGTGTGTGTGTGTGTGTGTGTGTTGTGTGTGTGTGTGTGTGTGTGTGTGTGTGTGCTGAGTGTGTGTGGGTGTGGATGTGTGGTTGTGTGTGTTGATGTGTGTGGGTGTGTGTGTGTGTGGTGTGTGTGTAGTGTAGTGTGTGTGTGTGTGTGTGTGTGTGTGTGTGTGTGTGTGTGTGTGTGTGTGTGTGTGTGTGTGTGTGTGTGTGTGTGTGTGTGTGTGTGTGTGTGTGTGTGTGTGTGTGTGTGTAAGTGTGTGTGTAAAAATATGGCCCCGCCCCCTCGCACACAGGCGGGGGAGAGAGAGATCTCTCGTCTGGTTTGAAAATACCAAAAAGACGCATTTTGCAGTCTTTCTGCGTATTAGAAACGGAGTTGGCGAAACTAAAACTGCAATATAATGTTTGTGTAGGAATAATACATATATTTGTTAAATGTCTCCAGTACCGATAAAAAGACCGTTAACGTCGGAGCTTAACGGTACCACGGTCTTTAATAATTCAGCCCCGGGGCTCGGTACCCGTCCCTAATGAGGAAGGAAAACTCAAACTATGGAGCCGGTTACTTAGTTTTGAAGTTATCCTCCGACCCCTCTCGCCTGAATCTCTTTCTTCACACCGTTAAAACTCTCCATCGTGTTTTTAGAAAGAGTCAAAGAAGACTAACATACTGTGGTCTGACTTTCTTGTGTTAACGTGTCTTCCTCTCGCCTCCCTCAGGCTGGCAGTGGAGTCCGTTGGACCGTCCCTCGTTTGCAGAGATCCATCAGGCCTTTGAGACCATGTTCCACGACTCCAGCATCTCCGAAGGTACGGGACGTTTAGATCAGGAAGCTCATAAACCCACCGGTTTCAGCTCGTTCTGATTTAGAAGGCTGACTCTAACTTCCTCTTCAGCGTCTTTGAGAGACAGACAGAAAACAGTGTGTCCTTAGACCCTCACGTGGAAAACTCATTAACCCCGCTAGCTGAAAGCAACCTCACAGTTAACGAGGAGAACTCATTAACCCCGCTAGCTGAAAGCAACCTCACAGTTAACGAGGAGAACTCATTAACCCCGCTAGCTGAAAGCAACCTCACAGTTAACGAGGAGAACTCATTAACCCCGCTAGCTGAAAGCAACCTCACAGTTAACGAGGAGAACTCATTAACCCCGCTAGCTGAAAGCAACCTCACAGTTAACGAGGAGAACTCATTAACCCCGCTAGCTGAAAGCAACCTCACAGTTAACGAGGAGAACTCATTAACCCCGCTAGCTGAAAGCAACCTCACAGTTAACGAGGAGAACTCATTAACCCCGCTAGCTGAAAGGAACCTCACAGTTAACGAGGAGAACTCATTAACCCCGCTAGCTGAAAGCAACCTCACAGTTAACGAGGAGAACTCATTAACCCCGCTAGCTGAAAGCAACCTCACAGTTAACGAGAACTCATTAACCCCGCTAGCTGAAAGCAACCTCACAGTTAACGAGGAGAACTCATTAACCCCGCTAGCTGAAAGCAACCTCACAGTTAACGAGGAGAACTCATTAACCCCGCTAGCTGAAAGCAACCTCACAGTTAACGAGGAGAACTCATTAACCCCGCTAGCTGAAAGCAACCTCACAGTTAACGAGGAGAACTCATTAACCCCGCTAGCTGAAAGCAACCTCACAGTTAACGAGGAGAACTCATTAACCCCGCTAGCTGAAAGCAACCTCACAGTTAACGAGGAGAACTCATTAACCCCGCTAGCTGAAAGCAACCTCACAGTTAACGAGGAGAACTCATTAACCCCGCTAGCTGAAAGGAACCTCACAGTTAACGAGGAGAACTCATTAACCCCGCTAGCTGAAAGCAACCTAACAGTTAACGAGGAGAACTCATTAACCCCCGCTAGCTGAAAGCAACCTCACAGTTAACGAGAACTCATTAACCCCGCTAGCTGAAAGCAACCTCACAGTTAACGAGGAGAACTCATTAACCCCGCTAGCTGAAAGCAACCTCACAGTTAACGAGGAGAACTAATTAACCCCGCTAGCTGAAAGCAACCTCACAGTTAACGAGGAGAACTCATTAACCCCGCTAGCTGAAAGCAACCTCACAGTTAACGAGGAGAACTCATTAACCCCGCTAGCTGAAAGGAATGTTAGAAACCTCGAGGAGAACATTATTAACCTCCAGGATGTTTATAATCTTCAAGTTGCTGCCAAAAAATAATGAAGTGGGCATCTTGCAGGACAGATCTCTCCTCCTGAGTGCTTCCTGTCTCCTCTCCTCCTAACTGAGTGTTTCCTCTCTCCTCTCCGAGTGTTTCCTCTCTCCTCTCCTCCTAACTGAGTGTTTCCTCTCTCCTCTCCTCCTAACTGAGTGTTTCCTGTCTCCTCTCCTCCTAACTGAGTGTTTCCTCTCTCCTCTCCTCCTAACTGAGTGTTTCCTGTCTCCTCTCCTCCTAACTGAGTGTTTCCTGTCTCCTCTCCTCCTAACTGAGTGTTTCCTGTCTCCTCTCCTCCTAACTGAGTGTGTTTCCTCTCTCCTCTCCTCCTAACTGAGTGTTTCCTCTCTCCTCTCCTCCTAACTGAGTGTTTCCTCTCTCCTCTTCTCCTAACTGAGTGTGTTTCCTCATCTCCTCCCCTCCTAACTGAGTGTTTCCTGTCTCCTCTCCTCCTAACTGAGTGTGTTTCCTGTCTCCTCTCCTCCTAACTGAGTGTGCTTCCTCTCTCCTCTCCTCCTAACTGAGTGTTTCCTCTCTCCTCTCCTCCTAACTAAGTGTGTTTCCTCTCTCCTCTCCTCCTAACTGAGTGTGTTTCCTCTCTCCTCTTCTCCTAACTGAGTGTGTTTCCTCTCTCCTCTTCTCCTAACTGAGTGTGTTTCCTCTCTCCTCTCCTCCTAACTGAGTGTGTTTCCTCTCTCCTCTTCTCCTAACGGAGTGTGTTTCCTGTTTCCTGTCTCCTCTCCTCCTAACTGAGTGTTTTTCCTGTCTCCTCTCCTCCTAACTGAGTGTGTTTCCTCTCTCCTCTTCTCCTAACGGAGTGTGTTTCCTGTTTCCTCTCTCCTCTCCTCCTAACTGAGTGTTTTTCCTGTCTCCTCTCCTCCTAACTGAGTGTTTCCTCTCTCCTCTTCTCCTAACTGAGTGTGTTTCCTCATCTCCTCCCCTCCTAACTGAGTGTTTCCTGTCTCCTCTCCTCCTAACTGAGTGTGTTTCCTGTCTCCTCTCCTCCTAACTGAGTGTGCTTCCTCTCTCCTCTCCTCCTAACTGAGTGTTTCCTCTCTCCTCTCCTCCTAACTAAGTGTGTTTCCTCTCTCCTCTCCTCCTAACTGAGTGTGTTTCCTCTCTCCTCTTCTCCTAACTGAGTGTGTTTCCTCTCTCCTCTTCTCCTAACTGAATGTGCTTCCTCTCTCCTCTTCTCCTAACTGAGTGCTTCCTCTCTCCTCTCCTCCTAACTGAGTGTGCTTCCTGTCTCCTCTCCTCCTAACTGAGTGTGCTTCCTGTCTCCTCTCCTCCTAACTGAGTGCTTCCTCTCTCCTCTCCTCCTAACTGAATGTGCTTCCTCTCTCCTCGTCTCCTAACTGAGTGCTTCCTCTCTCCTCTCCTCCTAACTGAGTGTGCTTCCTGTCTCCTCTCCTCCTAACTGAGTATTTCCTCTCTCCTCTCCTCCTAACTGAGTGCTTCCTCTCTCCTCTCCTCCTAACTGAGTGTGCTTCCTGTCTCCTCTCCTCCTAACTGAGTGTGCTTCCTGTCTCCTCTCCTCCTAACTGAGTGTTTCCTCTCTCCTCTCCTCCTAACTGAGTGCTTCCTCTCTCCTCTCCTCCTAACTGAGTGTTTCCTCTCTCCTCTCCTCCTAACTGAGTGTGTTTCCTCTCTCCTCTCCTCCTAACTGAGTGTTTCCTCTCTCCTCTCCTCCTAACTGAGTGTTTCCTCTCTCCTCTCCTCCTAACTGAGTGTTTCCTCTCTCCTCAGAGGTGGCAGAGGAGTTGTGTAAAACCTCCTCTTCTCTCGGGGCTCCTCTCCTTCCCTTCGACACGCCGCTGCTGCCTTCAAAGTCTCGCACGCTGCTGCACAAACACACGGAGAACAAGGAGAACATCGAGGGAGGACTGGAGGGCCGCGTGGACCCCGGCAGCCACTCAGGTACAGCCCCACCCCGCCGCCACGCTCCACTTTATGATTGTGCAGGTGTTGATCAGAGCGAAGGAGACGTTCAGAGCACGCTGCAGCGGAGGAGAGCCCGGCGGCTGAAGAGGAGGGCCGTCATCTTCCTCAACAACTGAGAGAACACACATCTGTCCTGCAGCTAGACATGTTCTCCACTACAGCTGTGTGTTCTACACTACATCTGTGTGTTCTACACTACATCGTAGAACAACAGCTGTGTGTTCTACACTACATCATAGAACAACAGCTGTGTGTTCTACACTACAGCTGTGTGTTCTCCACTACATTGTAGAATAGCAGCTGTGTGTTCTACACTACATCGTAGAACACGGACCCCCAAATATCAGAAACAAAAGGCCTGCTCACCACTCCAACAGTTTATAACACATTACAGCCTAATAATGACAGCTTGACTTCTCTGCATCGCCTCGTTCACGCATTAAATCAACAATACAACTACAGATTATACAAGCATTTCCTTCATATGAGATTTCAAATGCTCTCAGGTTTTACACCTCATATGAAATGTAGACTATTACGGAGTTTATGTCCGAGCCAACCGATCGTTTTACTGAGAGAAATGCAAAATGCATGAAGTACGACACAAACCTCCTCTGTCTCCGTCTCATCCTATACTAGTCATTTTTAAACAATTTGAGAAACACTTTGAATTTATTATTTATTTATTTCAAATAGGAAATGTTACCAATAAACTCACTTTGAGAAACACTGACGTAGAATAACAGCTGTGTGGGCGCAGCCATTAATCTCCAAAAAGAGGCTTAGGAGAACAGCTGTTTCTGAATCATGCTAATTATTTAGCATGATGCTAACGTCGATGTTATCTCACACACATTAAAATATGGTAAAAATGAAAGGAAAAATAACCATTAATAATAAAAGAAATAATTATTATTATTATGTAAAAAAAATATATATAATCATGATACTAAGTTAGTAAATATAATATATGTTTGAATTAAGAAGTACTCAGATATTTACTTAAGTTAAAGTAGCTTTATGCTCGTGTACATGTCAACTTAAACACATTAAAATATGGTAAAAATGTAAGTAAATATAACCATCAACCATATGAAATATATGTATTATTATGTAAATAATTATAATAAATAAATCCATAATAATAAATAATACTTTTTATTATAGGGCATTTTTACAGATTTTAAATTAATTGTAAAAATGTACATAAAAAATTACCCTTAAAGGTGCGGTAGGTAATTCACTTCACAAACACTTGTTATATTCCATGGAATGCTCTTAACATCCCGATAGCAATGAATATATTAAATGCTTTGACAATAAATACAAAAAAGTCATCAGTGGAAGCCGTGGCGCTGTAAAAAGCTCGACCAATCATCTGAGCCGGCTAAAGTAACTGGATGGCCTACCTGCCTGTCAGCCTTCCATCTGGGCACAAACTGATCTCGTGCCCTCATTGGTCATGTGCGCGTTCGTGTGTGTTGGAGGAGGGGCTCTGTGAGGAAGTGGCAGATTTGTTCCGGTTGTGTATTTTCAAATTCTAGCCACCGAGCCGGTTTCTCCAAAATTACATACCCCACCTTTAATTGTAAAAATGTACATAAGAAATTACAGTTAAAATATGAAACATTCATTCATTTCAACAGATTATCTCAACGTGTCGTAGCTCCACTACAATGACCAAAGACAGCATTTGTTTTACTGCAAGACTTTGCACTTTAGGTCCTTTTATAACAAACCTGTCACACTTAATTATAGCTTCTCCAGAATATGAGTGATCTGCATGTTGCCTGTGTGTTACATTGAAACGTGTTATCTGTGTTGTCAAAACGTGGTCACTAACGCTGTATTACAATTTGCTACCCCTTTAATTAAATTCCCAAACCATTGTCTGTCTTGTCTCGTTTTAAATTATTGCTTATTTTATATTGTAAATAAAATGTTGTGTGTGTGTACATGTGTGTGTAGAGGACGCTCTGACCTTTGTGTGTTTTTTACCTCCTTCTTTCTCATGCTTTAGTCCATGAATATAAGTGTTCATTTATAGAGGTGAACAGAAGCATCATTGTGTCATAAATCCAATCCAAAGTGCATGCAATCACAACGTCACCAAGCACAAGGAAAGCTCATACCTCGTCACCAAGTGTGTGTTTCATATTCACAAAATCACAAAAGCTGATACTTACATTTTTACATTTAATGTCTGACTAATATTTATTTCTTTCTATGCATTTATTTTCACATGCAAACATTGAAGAGAGAACTATATCAAGTAAGGAATACACCCGGACCGATGGTGCCATTACTCCCATAGCATTTACATTCAATATGAATGATGTCTTAGTTTTAAGTCATGGCCTGGTTAGAGAAGAGATGCACAAATATCAGTCTTAGTGAAGTTTGTTCCAAGACGTGTTCCCTATTTCCCATGGTGCAAAAGAAAAGTGCATATAAACGTCTTTAAAGAGTCCTCTCCTGCTGATGTTCAGGTGTATATCAGTATGTAGTGTCTCTACTTTAAAGAGTCCTCTCCTGCTGATGTTCAGGTGTATATCAGTATGTAGTGTCTCTACTTTAAAGAGTCCTCTCCTGCTGAGGTTCAGGTGTATATCAGTATGTAGTGTCTCTACTTTAAAGAGTCCTCTCCTGCTGATGTTCGGTTGACCAATCACAATAGAGCCGGCCAGCTAACCAATCAGAGCAGACTGGGCTCTGGTTTCAGACAGAGGGTGAAAAGAGGTGCTGCAGCACAGGCAGTATGAGAACAATAAAGCTTGGAGACATGTCACAGTAGAGACACTACATACTGATATACACCTGAACATCAGCAGGAGAGGACTCTTTAAAGTAGAGACACTACATACTGATATACACCTGAACATTAGCAGGAGAGGACTCTTTAAAGTAGAGACACTACATACTGATATACACCTGAACATCAGTAGGAGAGGACTCTTTAAAGTAGAGACACTACATTCTGATATACACCTGAACATCAGCAGGAGAGGACTCTTTAAAGTAGATACACTACATACTGATATACACCTGAACATCAGCAGGAGAGGACTCTTTAAAGTAGAGACACTACATACTGATATACACCTGAACATCAGCAGGAGAGGACTCTTTAAAGTAGAGACTCTACATACTGATATACACCTGAACATCAGTAGGAGAGGACTCTTTAAAGTAGAGACACTACATTCTGATATACACCTGAACATCAGCAGGAGAGGACTCTTTAAAGTAGAGACACTACATACTGATATACACCTGAACATCAGCAGGAGAGGACTCTTTAAAGTAGAGACACTACACACTGATGTACACCTGAACATCAGCAGGAGAGGACTCTTTAAAGTAGAGACTCTACATACTGATATACACCTGAACATCAGCAGGAGAGGACTCTTTAAAGTAGAGACTCTACATACTGATATACACCTGAACATCAGCAGGAGAGGACTCTTTAAAGTAGAGACACTACATTCTGATATACACCTGAACATCAGCAGGAGAGGACTCTTTAAAGTAGAGACTCTACATACAGATATACACCTGAACATCAGCAGGAGAGGACTCTTTAAAGTAGAGACACTACATACTGATATACACCTGAACATCAGCGGGAGAGGACTCTTTAAAGTAGAGACTCTACATACTGATATACACCTGAACATCAGCAGGAGAGGACTCTTTAAAGTAGAGACTCTACATACTGATATACACCTGAACATCAGCAGGAGAGGACTCTTTAAAGTAGAGACACTACATACTGATATACACCTGAACATCAGCGGGAGAGGACTCTTTAAAGTAGAGACTCTACATACTGATATACACCTGAACATCAGCAGGAGAGGACTCTTTAAAGTAGAGACACTACATACTGATATACACCTGAACATCAGCAGGAGAGGACTCTTTAAAGTAGAGACACTACATACTGATATACACCTGAACATCAGCAGGAGAGGACTCTTTAAAGTAGAGACACTACATACTGATATACACCTGAACATCAGCAGGAGAGGACTCTTTAAAGTAGAGACACTACATACTGATATACACCTGAACATCAGTAGGAGAGGACTCTTTAAAGTAGAGACACTACATTCTGATATACACCTGAACATCAGCAGGAGAGGACTTTTTAAAGTAGAGACACTACATACTGATATACACCTGAACATCAGCAGGAGAGGACTCTTTAAAGTAGAGACACTACATACTGATATACACCTGAACATCAGCAGGAGAGGACTCTTTAAAGTAGAGACTCTACATACTGATATACACCTGAACATCAGTAGGAGAGGACTCTTTAAAGTAGAGACACTACATTCTGATATACACCTGAACATCAGCAGGAGAGGACTCTTTAAAGTAGAGACTCTACATACTGATATACACCTGAACATCAGCAGGAGAGGACTCTTTAAAGTAGAGACACTACATACTGATATACACCTGAACATCAGCAGGAGAGGACTCTTTAAAGTAGAGACACTACATACTGATATACACCTGAACATCAGCAGGAAGGACTCTTAAAGTAGAGACACTACATACTGATATACACCTGAACATCAGTAGGAGAGGACTCTTTAAAGTAGAGACACTACATTCTGATATACACCTGAACATCAGCAGGAGAGGACTCTTTAAAGTAGAGACACTACATACTGATATACACCTGAACATCAGCAGGAGAGGACTCTTTAAAGTAGAGACTCTACATACTGATATACACCTGAACATCAGCAGGAGAGGACTCTTTAAAGTAGAGACACTACATACTGATATACACCTGAACATCAGCGGGAGAGGGACTCTTTAAAGTAGAGACACTACATACTGATATACACCTGAACATCAGTAGGAGAGGACTCTTTAAAGTAGAGACACTACATTCTGATATACACCTGAACATCAGCAGGAGAGGACTCTTTAAAGTAGAGACACTACATACTGATATACACCTGAACATCAGCAGGAGAGGACTCTTTAAAGTAGAGACTCTACATACTGATATACACCTGAACATCAGCAGGAGAGGACTCTTTAAAGTAGAGACACTACATACTGATATACACCTGAACATCAGCAGGAGAGGACTCTTTAAAGTAGAGACACTACATACTGATATACACCTGAACATCAGTAGGAGAGGACTCTTAAAGTAGAGACACTACATTCTGATATACACCTGAACATCAGCAGGAGAGGACTCTTTAAAGTAGAGACACTACATACTGATATACACCTGAACATCAGCAGGAGAGGACTCTTTAAAGTAGAGACACTACATACTGATATACACCTGAACATCAGCAGGAGAGGACTCTTTAAAGTAGAGACTCTACATACTGATATACACCTGAACATCAGTAGGAGAGGACTCTTTAAAGTAGAGACACTACATTCTGATATACACCTGAACATCAGCAGGAGAGGACTCTTTAAAGTAGAGACACTACATACTGATATACACCTGAACATCAGCAGGAGAGGACTCTTTAAAGTAGAGACACTACACACTGATGTACACCTGAACATCAGCAGGAGAGGACTCTTTAAAGTAGAGACTCTACATACTGATATACACCTGAACATCAGCAGGAGAGGACTCTTTAAAGTAGAGACTCTACATACTGATATACACCTGAACATCAGCAGGAGAGGACTCTTTAAAGTAGAGACACTACATTCTGATATACACCTGAACATCAGCAGGAGAGGACTCTTTAAAGTAGAGGACTCTACATACAGATATACACCTGAACATCAGCAGGAGAGGACTCTTAAAGTAGAGACACTACATACTGATATACACCTGAACATCAGCAGGAGAGGACTCTTTAAAGTAGAGACTCTACATACTGATATACACCTGAACATCAGCGGGAGAGGACTCTTTAAAGTAGAGACTCTACATACTGATATACACCTGAACATCAGCAGGAGAGGACTCTTTAAAGTAGAGACACTACATACTGATATACACCTGAACATCAGCGGGAGAGGACTCTTTAAAGTAGAGACTCTACATACTGATATACACCTGACATCAGCAGGAGAGGACTCTTTAAAGTAGAGACTCTACATACTGATATACACCTGAACATCAGCAGGAGAGGACTCTTTAAAGTAGAGACACTACATACTGATATACACCTGAACATCAGCGGGAGAGGACTCTTTAAAGTAGAGACTCTACATACTGATATACACCTGAACATCAGCAGGAGAGGACTCTTTAAAGTAGAGACACTACATACTGATATACACCTGAACATCAGCAGGAGAGGACTCTTTAAAGTAGAGACACTACATACTGATATACACCTGAACATCAGCAGGAGAGGACTCTTTAAAGTAGAGACTCTACATACTGATATACACCTGAACATCAGTAGGAGAGGACTCTTTAAAGTAGAGACACTACATTCTGATATACACCTGAACATCAGCAGGAGAGGACTCTTTAAAGTAGAGACTCTACATACAGATATACACCTGAACATCAGCAGGAGAGGACTCTTTAAAGTAGAGACACTACATACTGATATACACCTGAACATCAGTGGGAGAGGACTCTTTAAAGTAGAGACTCTACATACTGATATACACCTGAACATCAGCAGGAGAGGACTCTTTAAAGTAGAGACACTACATACTGATATACACCTGAACATCAGCGGGAGAGGACTCTTTAAAGTAGAGACTCTACATACTGATATACACCTGAACATCAGCAGGAGAGGACTCTTTAAAGTAGAGACACTACATACTGATATACACCTGAACATCAGCAGGAGAGGACTCTTTAAAGTAGAGACACTACATACTGATATACACCTGAACATCAGCAGGAGAGGACTCTTTAAAGTAGAGACACTACATACTGATATACACCTGAACATCAGCAGGAGAGGACTCTTTAAAGTAGAGACTCTACATACTGATATACACCTGAAAGTGAGCAGAATATGTCCTCTTTAAATGTTGTTGCATATTTCTAACCCTCTCGCTCTGATTGGTTAGCTGGCTGGCTCTGTTAGCTGGCTGGCTGGCGCTTAGAGATGTCCCGCCCCTTAGCCTATCACGGACAATGTTTTGGAGCGTGAGTGATGTCACTTTGTTCCGGAAGTAAACAAAGGAGTCCAAACAAAAGAATAAGAGCTTTTTGAACATTAAAGCATGGAGACGTGTCCCAGTAGAGACACTACATACTGATATGAACCTTCAAATGACCAGAATATGTCCTTTTTAAATGTAGTTGTATATTTCTAACCTTCTCCTCTCTGTCTCTTCAGGCTGGGCTTCTTCTCTCCTGGGGGGGGACAGTCGGTCGGGCAGCTCCCCGGCGTTGCCCCGAAAACAACTTTCCCGAGATAAATCCCCCGCCGGCCTTTTAGACGACGCTCAGGATTTGGGCACCTTCACACGGGACCGAAAGACCGGCTTCTTCAGCTCCTTCATCAAGAAGAAATCCTCCTCTTCCTCCTCCTCTTCCTCCCAGAACCTCCCCACTCCCCCTAAAAGGAGCAGCTCTTTCCGGGAAATGGAGACTCAGCCTCACAAGAAATACGAGCCGACGGCAGACTTTTCGGCGCCTCCTCCTCTCCCCCAATCGGACAGCAGCGTCGTGGGGGGGTTCTCCGCCTCCCCCTCCCACTCCCACTCCCACAGCGACCCCCCCCAGCCCCAGTCTCGTTGCTGTGGTGCTGCTTTCGGACAAAAACCCTCATCAGGGGGGGGTTTAGCGGCGCAAGTTAGCACTAGTAGCTGGAGCGGATTGGCGGGTTTTTTCACGCCGAGACTCATAAAACGGACTTTAGGGCTTCGGACTGGGAAAACAGCTATTTCTTCATCTGAGGAGGGGGTGGTGGGGACTTTACCAGTTGGGGGGCTTTCCAAACCCTTCCCCAGGTCTAACTCCACCTCCTCCATGTCCGCCGGGTTGCCAGATTTGGAGCGAATGGCTTTGACTTTACCCAGAAATCGAAGTGCAAAACCCCCGCTGGAGAGAACGTCCTCCAGCAGCTCCACGCCGGAGAACGGACAGAAACCGGACGAGGGGACGGCTCAGATCAGAGAGAGACCCAAAGCCAAGATGGTTCCCAAGGGCACGGGGGTGAGGGTACCGGGAGTCGGGGGGGAAGCGGGGGAATCGGACCTTGTAGTGGATCGACAACAACAAAACTGGTCCTCGCCATCTAAGACTTCTTCATCCTCCCCTAAGACTCCTTCTTCCTCCAACTGTAAGACTTCTTCCTCCTCCCCTAAGACTCCTTCTTCCTCCACCTCTAAGACTGTATCCTCCTCCTCCTCTCAGACCCACAACCACAAGGTGCCGGTGCTGATCTCCCCCACGCTGAAGCCCCCCGACGTGCACCTGGTGGCTCTCGACTCTCAGGGGAACCGCTTCAAGCTGCTCAGCGAAAACCCCGATCGTCCGCGGCTCGTAAAACCCAAATGTGCTCCTCCTCCGCCTCCTACGCTACGAAACCAACACTCGTACAGCGAAACGACGGGGGGGGAGGAGGAGGGGGAGGTGAACGGGGAGAAAGGGATTCGAACCGGGAAAGGAGGAGGAACTATGATGACGACGGGGAGACCCTCAGTGCCGCCGCCTCAGGTTCCTCCCACAAACACTCCTTCAAAAATGGCAAACGGATCCACTCCCTCTTCGTCCACTAAAGCGGGTTTCCGGAGGATTCGACAGCAAGCGGATCGCGGCGTCCCCCCCGAGCGGGTAGGCCGAGAGGCGTTGTTGGAGTGTGCCGATTCGTTGATAGTCGTCCTCCGCGACTCCTCCCCCTCTGACTCCCCCCCCTCCAACAGTGTGGTCCTGGACGCGGGGCTGCAGCTGCTGGACCGATGCTCCGGGTACGTGGACGTCATCCCGCAGATGAGGAACAAATTCGCTTTTCGGGAGGCGGTGGGGAAGCTGGAGGTCAGCTTGCAGGAGCTGAGGGCCTCGGGGGGGGGAGGGGGGGGCACAGTACTGGAGAACCTGCAGGGCTGCGTGAGAGAAATCAGAGACGTGGTGCAGAGGTAACAGCTGTGACATCACTGTGACATCACTGTGACATCACTGTGACATCACTGTGACATCATGAAAGAATGAAGACTCTTGAAATAAACTGTCTTTTAAGGACCTTATTCTGGCAAGAAGGTGTCTGCGGAGAAATGCAGAAGTCAGGAGGTCCCCAGTTCACATTTGGACACCAAGAATGGAAGAGGAGGGGCTGTGACATCACTGTGACATCACTGTGACATCACTGTGACATCACTGTGACATCACTGTGACATCACTGTGACATCTGCGGTGGAGATGTATCGAGACACACACTAACAAATAATAGTAAACGGGTGAGAAAACCTTGAAGACTCTTGAAATAAGACGGTCTTTTAGGGAGTTTATTCTTGCAAGAAGGTGTCTGTGTCTGCGGCGAAATACAAAAGTCAGGAGGTCTGCAGAGGGTCTTATATTCACATTTGAACACTAAGAATAGACGAGGAGGGGCTGTGACATCACTGTGACATCACGCCGGTCAGACTGGTTTCCCTCCTTTCTTCTGGTTCTTTTTTACAGCTTTCCGGGGGCGGGTCTGGACGGTACCTCAGAGAAATCACTCACTCACTGTTTACAACCAACACACACAAACTACAGGTGGTTTCAGGCCTGCTACGATAAAACCTCTTCGCTCAACGAATGTCGAGTGTATCAGCTGTTCGGAAAGATACTGAGCAAAATACATGTTTACTGACAAACCTCAAACAGTGTCGAGTCGAGCTGCAACGATTAAGATATTTAAATCAACTTTTAAAGCAAAAATGGTTTTTTAAAAAATCTGTTTTCAGCCTCAAATATTAAGATTAGTTGCTATTTTCAAATTTCTATCAAAGTAAAAAGATTAAATCTGGATTTCTAACATTTGTCACTATTCTCTGACGTGTTGAACACTAAACAGCTGATCTAAGACCCTCATTCGTTGCAGCTCCAAAGGGAATCACTAGTGTCTGGGATCTTCGTAAACCTTTCAAAAGCCATTTTATCCTAAAGTATTGGAGACTAAGTGTGATTTCAAGATGTCGGGGTCTTAACGTGACACCGATTTGCATTTACATTTCATGATCAGTATTTTTAACTAGAGGGACAAATGTGATAAAACCATGAATCTCCCAAAATCTGCTTGTCTTGGTATTATCGAATAATAACGTGTAAACACAAAGGGAACACAGCTTTAGAGAGGCGTGGAAATAAGCTCAAATGAAACGTTAGAACAGGTTGATCAAATCCACACAGAGACCCCTTTAATCCCCACATGACCAGATGGTGTTTCACAGCCTTCGTCTTCAGTGTCCACACGGTGCCGTCTCCGAGAGCATTTCAGTATTGAAGTGGTTTGAATGCACAGTAACGTCAGTCTGGTGGGAGCGCAGGAGCAGAACTGGGGCGGTGTTTCTATAAGTGTCCTTCTGACGGACTGATCCAATCCCTGAAGCCTTGTCGTGTCCTCAGTGCCTCGAAATCTTCCACGAAATGAACACTGCAAAAAACCAGAGACCTGCTACACACACACACACACACACACACACACACACACACACTGATCTCTCTACCGACAAACTGCAGTATGTCTTCAGCACATTGTACATTATTTGGTTTTTTTTTAAATAAGAAAAGCTTTTTTTCAGAATGTCTATGTATGAACTTGAATTTTTAAATTATTCCTTTTTTTTCTTTTTATTAAAAAGCACAGAGCTATTTTGAGAGATGTAAATATTGGATTGATTTCATATCCAGGAAACAGGATGTATGTGTGCTCACAGCATATAGAGCGTGTCTGACTGAAGAATACCTGAATATATGAATGTATTATTCTTCCCTTCTGACCCGGGCGAATGACCATCTGCATGAATCTCTAAAGGTGCCATTTTTTTATTTGTATTATTATTTATTATACTTTTTTTTTTGTATTGACCCATACTTCTCCTTTTGGTCACACTAAGTACTAACGTCCAGAAGCAGTTGCTCTGTTTTTTGAGCACAAATGAAACGTTGCTTTTCACATCTAAATGTACACTGGATACGGCCTCGCATACTCCAACACCTGATCTGTAGAAACACTGCAGGTCCAAAACAACACTTGATTGACTGCAGAGTAAACGTTGTTTTTCAGTTCATGTCGTGCGTCAGTATTTTAATGTTCAAACAGGTTCCTGTGAGACGAACTGATTTCTATTCGCTGTGATTTGACAGAAACACGGAGAGAAGAAACGCCGTGTGATTTTTATTTGATGATTCTTGGTGCCTTTTTGTGAGCAAATGATTCATGTCTGTCACTGCGAGAGAAACAGGCAATGTTTCAAATCCACCATTAAAGAAACATTCATGTCTTCCATTTTCCGTGAGCTTTTCTGTCACTTGGAGGTTGATGCAAAATTGAAATTTAAAGGTGCATTTGTCTATTAAATTAAGTATGTAGATACGGTTGCTAAGGTTACTTATTGGAGGTCGTTAACTCTGTTAGTGCAGCAACATCTGGTTGATTTCCCTCTAACAGACATGCACAAAAACACTTTGGAGAAACACTGCCGCTTCAGAAAAGAGGAAGCCGCAACGCATTTATTTAAAATTGCTTTCTCGATTATTTGTGGAGCTTAGTTGTGAGAAAGCCTGATCAAGTCAAACGTAACCTCCGAAATCAAACTTATTTAAAGAAAATACAACACAGATATTCAATTTGTCAAAAAATCGATTTGTTCTCAATGATTTTTCCACAGATCGTCTCATCGTCAGTCCTCTTCGTTGTTGTTGTTATTTATGTCGCCTGTGTTTTCTGTTGTTTTTCTGGAGGTCGTGTTCACATCAAACCAAAGGCCACTTCTTCAGCTGTACGAGTGCAATGTAAAGCAACACACACACGATGATGGAATATGTGAATCTAAACAGGGATTTAAAAAAGGCAGAGACGTTAACATTAACTTTTTTATTGTACAAAATATATATTTTGGTTTTTTTTTTATTTAAAGCTCACGTTATATTACTGTGAAGTTTTGCTTATCAGTGTTAAGCCTATTGTAAATAATAAAGATATTGATGAATACTGCTCTGCTATTGGTTCTTCATCTGCTTCTATCAGTACAATTATAATCATGATAACACTGACTAGGTATATATATTAATTTATAAAATATATACATGGCCCCTTAGAATAAGTGTATATTTTTAAACTTGCATAAATGCAATATATTACATGTCACTTGTTAGACGCTTTTATCCAAAGCGACTTACATACTCAACACTGTGGGCAATCCCCACAGGAGCACTTTGGGGTGAAGAGTCTCAGGGACACAACGACATGCTGACAGCAGTGGGGTTTGAACCGGTGATCCCCCTGATCCGAACCCCAGCGCACTAGGCCACTGCACACGCATCCCTAGTATCTATTGCATTTATTTATCTACAATACACTTTATATTACAAACAAGAATACCATTAATTCAATGTTAAATGTATCATGTTTAAGCTCCATCACCATCATTGTTTATTTCCTTATTAATATTGAAATAAAATAATATTAAAATAACATGGATTTAAATGGAGATAATATCGATGATTAAAAATCAGTATCAACTTTTTTTTTTTTTTTTTAATATGGATTATTTAAAGATTTCTTCGTCACTTTTGCTTAAGTATTAAACACTTGACTTAATTAAGATACATTGAAATCATGACAAAAAAATATAAGAAAAATACATTTTATTAAGTATAGAAAAGTTTACATTATTCAAGGCATTCTTTCAAGCTTAATCACCCATACAAATCCAATGAAATTCTGGGTTAGGTTTAAACAATTTACCATAAATAACCAGCAAGATTACCATTAAATTAAGTCTAAATGTATCATGTAGCTCCAGCACCATCACCGTCTCTCCACGCCTTGTTATCCTGTAATTGAGGATTTTTTTGTTTGACATTTTATTATAATCAATACACTCACTAACTCAAATAGAATGGACTTATAATGAAATAATAATGACAATATAAAGCAAAGAAAAAAAAGCTCCATCATCATCACCGACTGCCCCCTGCCGGTAACACCCCCCGTTCCCCGGCAACATTCCCCTCCTCTCCCCGGCTCCTCCCCGCCTGACATTGCATTATAATCAATACAATCACTAACTCAAACAGAATGGACTTATAATGAAATAATAATGACAATATAAAGGAAAAAGCAACAAAAAAAAATCTTCAGCATCATCACCGACTCCCACGACTGCCCACTGCCGGAAACACTCCCCCGTTCCCGGGCAACATTCCCCTCCTCTCCCCGGCTCCTCCCCTCCTTGTTTTTTGGTAATTGGGGATTTTTTTGTTTTACATTTAATTATTATCAATACACTCTCTAACTCAAACATAATTGACTTACATTGAAATAATGATGACTATATAACTAGAAAAAAAAGCTCCAGGACCATCACCAGCTGCCCCCTGCCGGTAAAACCCCCCCGTTCCCCGGGCACCGCTCCCTCCTCCTCCCCCCTCTCTTATCCGGCTCCTCCCAGCTCCTCCTGTTGTAAAGATGGCGTCCATCATGGAGGGGCCGCTCAGCAAGTGGACAAACGTGATGAAGGGATGGCAGTACCGCTGGTTCGTGCTGGACTACAACGCCGGATTACTGTCTTACTACACGGTCAGTTCACAGGGTTCCAACCGCTGATTTTATCCCTTATGGAGGTTTTTACAGCAACTTGTTACTGGCTGTCAGACAGGATAAGGGCCTTGTGTTTGTCAGAAGTCTCAGCTGGCAGTGAGAGGCGGGGCTCCGTGATGACGGATCCGTGTGTCAGCCAATAGAAACGAACCCTGCAAACCAACTGACCAATAGAGTGGCAGTATTCTTCCCCACACTTACGCTAATGTAGCTAGCTATCAAGGCTAGACAACACCCACTCGGCTAAACGTTATTGTGAGTAGTTAACAGAATAAAGCGATACAAATACATCGTTTTATCATTTTTAGGGGCATTGTTTGTCTTTGGGAGTTCTACTGGAGTCTCGTCACTCCCTGGTTTGTTCGCTAAATAGATAATAAGACACTGCGGGAGGAGACAGTGGCTGTCAGTTAGATTTTTGATAAATCTAACGTCAACAGAATAGATTTACTCAATTATACTGAACTTAAGTACAATTTAGAGGTACTTGTACTTTACTTGAGCAATTCCATGTTCTGCTACTTTGTACTTCTATTCCTCTACAGTTCAGAGGTAAATGGTGTACTTTTACTCCACTACATGTATGTAATAGTTTAGTTGCAGTATACAAAGTCATTCAAACTAGCTGCACCTTCACCAGCTTTGAGAACACTTTCATGATCAATCATTATAAAACATATCATATATATTATTCTGAAATGGACCAATCTGCACAACGACTACTTTCACTGTCGCTACTTTCACTATATTTAGATGAGAATACTTTTCTACTTTCACTTGAGGAACATTTTGAATGCAGGACTTTTACTGTAACAGAGTATTCCTACACTCTGGTACTTCTACTTTTACTCAAGTACAAGATCTGAGTACTTCTACTTTTACTCAAGTACCAGATCTGAGTACTTCTCCCACCTCTGAATATACCGTCAGTGTACTCTGATTAAAGTCAAGAGCAATGCGGACAATAAACTGTCACTTCTGTTTGACAAATAACTTTTAAGAAAAACATAGAGCTGTCTGTTCCTCTAAACAAGTTGACTGAGACGTCAAAGCATTCATTTATCTTATTTAACTGGAGACAGTAACTCTACAGTTGTTCTCTCACAACAACAACAACAACAAATCCTCTTAAACTATCTTTTTAAGACATTGTTATTTCTTGTCTCTGATTAGGTCTACAACTTCAGTCATTACATTACTTCACTAAAGTCCAAATACCCATAAAGGGTTAATGAAGCTGCAGATTCTCCTTCAAACCGTCAGGGAGGAAATGAGGCTGGACTCATTTAATCAAGTGATCTCAGTCTTGAAATAGTTGCAGTCATAAGTTTGAAATGGATTTGAACATGTTCTGCTTAAAGTCTGTAGGTCAACCCTTTGAGAAATACACACTGTGGCTTGTCAACAACATTGTATCTGACGCCAACCTGAACATGTCCTGAAAAGTGAATAGGAACATTCAATAATACAGGGTCTCTCTTATCAATGTTAGACCTTTTGTACACCAGTTAATCCTTAAATGAAATACATCTAATGCACCTTGAACAGTCCTGAAGATGTTCTCTTCAGTGACTGTAATGTTAGATTAAATCTCTGTTCCCTGGTTTTTGTATTAAATGTGTCCTTGTTGATATTACACATAACGCTGCTGTTATGCAGGAGACATGTCCGACTTCATTTGACAATAAAGTGTTATTGTATCGTGAGAATAAAGCTCCCGAAACTGTGTTAGTCGCTTAGTGATGTCACTATGTTCCAGAAGTAAACAAAGGAGTCAAATGGAGGACGTTTCAGGCAGGGGACCCCAGGGTGTTTCTCAATGCCGAGTAAAGCTGCTCCAGAGCAGGGACGGGCTAATGTTGCCCGGGCAACAGCTCGTTTGCCATTGTTGCCTGACCTGCCCCTCTGGAGAGAGCAGTTTGTATGTGTTTTCTATTGTGGCCGAATCAGCCTGATTAGCCCACAGTTAGTATCGTAGCGTCTCGCTGCGGGAAACACACCTTGTCAGCGCTGTCATCTGCCCCCAGTCACGTGACTTTGTTTACAATCTGACAGCTGGACGCAAAGGAAAGCCCTCCGGCCTCATATGGCTATGGTGATCACACCAAATGCCTGCCTGGCGTTAGAGTATAGGGGACAAACCAGGGACTTTACTTCCTCTTGACACCGTCGGTTATTTGCAAAAAAACCTCCTAAATATACTTGTTATTGTGATTCTGTCTTTCTGTGTCTTTTCATCTGCTCCTTAAACTCCCTCAACGGGGCCGCTCTCTCTTTTCTTGATCGCCCTCTCACGGAGAACACTTCACTGTCCCGCTTCATTGTAGGATTTCTGCCATGTCTCCACTTCAGTTTGACCATCTCTGTTATTAAAGGTGGGGTATGTAATTCACTTCAGAAACACTTGTTATATTCCATGGAATGCTCTTAACATCCCGATAGCAATGAATACATGAAATGCTTTGACAAAAAATCCATTAATAAATGTCATCTGTGTAAAAAGCACGACCAATCATCTGAGCCGGCTAAAGTAACTGGATGGCCTACCTGCCTGTCAGCCTTCCATTTGGGCACAAACTGATCTCGTGCCCTCATTGGTCATGTGCGCGTTCGTGTGTGTTGGGGGAGGGGCTCTGTGAGGAAGTCTGAAGGAAGGGGCAGATTTTGTCCGGTTGTGTACTTTCAAATTCTAGCGCACTCGAGCTGCTTTCTCCAACATTACTTACCCCACCTTTAAGTTATGGAATACTAAATAAATAAGTAATTAGATACCTTACCGTCACTGCGCTCATAAAGAATGATAATAATAATGTGAATTGAACTGGTTTCATTAGTGAGTTTATTTAAGGTAATTAGTTAGAGGCCCTATTTTATCAGTATGTCTGCACAGCAGCATTGAGAAACACCCACAGGGATTTTAGGCTTTGCAGACCATTTACATGCATTGCAACCTATAGAACACACTACAATAGGGCCTCTTTAAATTCAAGTGAAATGACTTCACTCACATATGTGCAATGCAATGTAATGTGTCTTCATCCAGTATCTAATATCCTCTCTTTGCTTTACCATTATTCTGGAAATCATGTTTCTAAATCCCTGCTCAAATACAGACCTGAGAGTTTTCTCTGTTAACGCTTATTAAGAAAGTAGGCTATGTTGGATGATATTGCTCGTGGATATTACTAATGTTAGTACATACACTACAACCTTGACGTTGTATTTTAAGCGCTGTTGTTCCTGAAAACTGACTATTAATGCCCGATCTGTTCTGTGTTTGATTTACAGTCAAAGGATAAGATGATGCGAGGATCCAGAAGAGGCTGCGTGCGACTCAGGGTGAGTTTCTCAGGATAAACCCTGTCCTCTTCATATTAAATATCTCTCTCTGA